CTCTAAGCACACACACAGAAAATAAACGTGAAGCACTTTTTCCGGAATCATGTCCAGATCTTTTCTCTGGAGAATGTAGGATATTACAGGTCTTCAAACAGTCAAGCCATTGTAGCAATCCTGGATAATAATCTGGGGTGGTTTCCTACAGTGCTGAAAAAGAAAGTGCCCTAAATTTTCCTGAAAGCTTCTACATTTTTAGTATATTATTTCACTTTAATTTATTACTTATTTTTGGCAAAAAGATTCAGAACCATTTATAGTTATTTAATAGGTTTAAAACTGTTTTAATAGTTTGAGAGAAATTAAAACAAAAGTAACAATTTAGATCTGAGTTTGAAATGCCCTTATATGGGAATTTGGGTTAGACAAAATTATTTAAAAATTCTAAAGTAAATCAATAAAGTCCCAGGACTGTTTTTTAAAAAAGGCTGAATAACTGCCAAAATGAACTGACTGTATGTTCTTAAGTCATAGCACATGTTAGCCAAGATGTGGATCATTTACTAAAATTGCTCTTGACTCTATTTTCTGGTGATGGATTTAGGTGGTACCCAAAAAAGTAAATACAGAAAAACATAAACAACTTTGAACTTACTAGTTTTAAGATTATTTTTTTAACAAAGAACTTGTTCAGCTGGGACATGTCAATAATTAAAGTTTACTAAATATAAACACCTGCAATATGAGGCAAGATGGGCTCTTCAGGACAAAGCCTTGGCTTAAAAAATGGGCAAAGTAAGGCGGAGCTTTCTGAGGCATCTCGTCTCCTTCTTTCCAAAGAAGAAAGTATTATGTGTGCTGATACTTTCTTTGTTCAAGTGGGCTGTACCCATACTGGGCTGCCAAGGAATTCCTAGAAATGCCTCAAAATTATCCACACTTTTCCTAGTTAAGCTATGGTTTCAAAGCACCAGTGAGTAGAGAATGCACAATTTCCAAGGCATGGACCACGACGTGATGCTAGTTTCAGGGAAAGAACCTCTGGGACACTGTCATTCTGCTCATTTTCAGAGTAGCCAGCATGAACAGCCACCACCGCTGACCCCTCGCCCGCAGGAGCGATGCAAACCATCACAAGAGGATGTAGCGTGTTACCACGCTTGTTACTGTGACTACAGAGGTTCCATATCCAGCGACAAAGCGTTTTTGCTTTCTAAGAGCTTCCCAATGAAATAGCACCAGTTGGCTGCTGAGGATATACAGATCTGTTCATGAAGTACTATTTCATTAAAACTTATATGAAATCCTTTCATCCACCAGAAACCAGGTAAAAACTACAACCGGAATCAAAGCTTGTTTTCATTAAACCCAGTTGTTGTACAGCTGGAGTCTAAGCAGCTGTCTTCCTGCGTAGCTTTTGCAATTCCTACATCTAATTAGCCATTCATTTTTCTCACATTTTAACATTAGCCCTGCTTTCTGTTCAACCTCAACATTCAACGAGGGCATCTGACCCACAGCATGACTGTACCCCATGAGACCAGGCTGTAATGTAATGAGAACACAGTCACAAACACTGCATGAATGTTTCAAGTGGAAGCTAAGTGACACAGCTGACATTTCAAACTGCTGGCAGCTGATTAAATCACTGTATCCCACTTGCCACAGAAATTAACTCGAAGGTTGGGAAAGGCAGCCAGTAACACATCCCAGGCGCTTTACTGTATTTTCCTTTGTTTTATGCATTTGAGTTATTTATGCTTAAAAACTGCCAACTGAATTCTTTTTTTTTCTCCTTAAATCTAGGCCAAATTAACAAAGGCACTTCTTATGCCCAAGAATGTGCCATGTAAGGGAATGTTTTATAATAAGTTTTGCTTTGTTGAGTTTATTTTCAGTGTGATGTTTAAATAGCACAGCATCAAAGGGACGAATAGAAGGTCCCTTGTCATGCCTTTGTGGGGAGGGCTTTGCTATTTTGATGAACAAAGACATCTTCGTGTTTTTCATTCAGAAGTAGCTTCATACAACAAAACTAATGCAAGCAGCAGGATCAAAGGGGAGCAAGGGGAGACACTAGAGACACTCCTGTAGAGGTCTTGGGTACCATTTTGCTGACTTGTCAAGTCTAGGCTCTGTGGTGTGGGAGGGAGATGTGTGGTTTGATGTGCAGGAAGGGTTACAGAACAGCCTGGAACTGCAGGGAGGAACTGGTCAGACAAAGGCCACTTCATCCCTGAGGGCAGTCTCTGCCCTGACCCTGACCACGGCAGGACGCGGGTGTGTGTGTGCCAGTTCCAGGGCACCCAGAAAGCTAGCTCTGAAGTGGGTGGTGCAGAGCTGGAAAGAGCTCCCTTCCTGGAACCCAGAGAGACAGCACATTTGCCTTGTTAAATTCTGAGGAGCTGTCAGAGGGATCCCAGAGGCTTGAGTCTGTGAGTCGCAGGCAGGCCAGCCTTATTTTAGCCTACTTTGACCTCCCCCTATGTGGAGGGCTGCACTAGTTTCAGGATTATCACAAAATTCCTCCTCCTGTTTGAGGAGTTCACAGGTAAGTACAGTACTCCTGTTGCCAAGACAACATAGGTGCTAAAAGGAAATATAAAGATAAAGCCGGTGGTCGGTTATCACAGACACCCTCCCTTCCTTACCCAGATGGCAGGTCATTGCTGGGGGGTCTGTACCACCCTGCACGTATCTATGGTGTCTCCCAAGAATTCCTAGGAGTTTTATTGAGTAGTGATTTTATTAGATTGCCCTGGCATCCTCATGAGGGTGCCTACGTGCTTGTGTCTCTGAACGCACACAACTCCGCACACTATTCGTCTTGTTGTCCTTTCTGGTATATACTATTCCTATTTGTTTCCTCCAGTTTTGTTGATTCTGAAAACCCATATTAAGGAAAGGACTATATTCTAACATTACCAAGGTAGAAATAAAACTGCTTTGCATTGCAGATCTTCTGGGAAAGACTGCATGTAGTGGAAATGCCTCACTGGGGATTAGACACCAGCCTTTAAGGTCAGCTCAGACTAAAACATCTGATATTCCTACACCTTAGCGTCACACAGTTTACTGAAACCTCTGTCACACCCCCACGGAATATGTGTATACATTTTGGATAACTCAGACATCTACTGTAGTGATTCTGCAAATCTTTAAACATTATAAATATCTAAGTCCATCCATTCGATTCCGAATAGCTTGAAGTGGAGCTCTAACACATCCTAGGAGGTTTGATGTGCAGGAAGGGTAGAACACTACTAGCTGCTTAGTTCTCAGTTAATCTCATGATAAAGGAATCTAAGCTCCAACAGCCTGCTTTTTGAAGTCCCACACAGCAGTGAATGGACACAGTGCCTCGAAAGTGAATGAGTACGCCCTGTTCAAAACCAGAGTTCTCTGTGACACGGAAGCTCTGACGCCTCCCTTCCCAGGGCCACAGAACTTGCCATCGTGATGCACTGCATCTTTTCCAACATTCCCAGAGCTCTGGACATGACTGAGAACCACTGCTTGGCCAAGGGCACCGACTACCAAATGTCAGAGGCACTTTAGTGACACATTAGCCCCACATATTTGTTCTGGATTTTTTTGAGATGGTGGCTGGAGATGGACCAGCCAAATTCTGGGTCTTAAGGTAGTCATTATCTTGAAGATGCAACTGTTAAACATGTGGACTCCTGTGTAATAACAATGGATCACACACAGACTTTTTACCTCATTTCTTTCTGTCATGAAGTTCTACCTCAGTGACAGTTTCTCAAATCCCCAGCACGAGTTGAAAGTATAACATCAACAGATTCCAACTGCTCGCTAACTGCTCTCTATATGGGTCTTTGTTTCCTGCTCTTGCAAAATTCCAAAGAAACCAAACAAAAAAGACAACAAAAGGAAAACAAAAAGCAAAAAAATTCCCCCAACTCCAGACACCTGCCAGGCAGAGTAAGAGTAACTATTAGCATTATGACTATGGTCGATTTAAAAATGAATGCCAGGAATAGGCAAGCAAAATGGATCTGCAGGGGGATGAAGTTCTAGATAAACTGTCCTTGGCAGTTTCTGAATCCTTGGTGCCCACTTCTGTGGAGAGCCTGTTATTACCATTGCTGAGACCCACACAGTTCAGAGCACCCAGATTCATGCCCTCCCGGCCACCCTGCAATACTTCCAAGTTCAGTGCCGGTCTTGCTGAGTTTGGGGAGGTACCATTGCCTTCCAGGTCTCCACTGAGTAAACTACCAACAGGATGAGCAGAAGAGGCTATCTGGGCCCTTGGAGTTTGTCCGGGCCCTACGGGCATGTGGGGAAGGGTTCCCCAATGTAAGTTCTGTCTAGAGAGTGACTCCCTCTGGAACTACGCTTCTGCCTTAGATTCTGACATAACAAAACCCCACAGAATGTACTTTTTCCCCACTTGAAACACATACATACCATTTTTCTACCACATCTTGCTTGGAAGGCAGTTCTGTGTGGCAGTCTATTTTCAGGGAGGGAACTGCAGGCAACAAGCTTTATTAGCAATATGAGGCTCCGAGTACCAAGTAAGAAAATGTAGAAATACTTGTTTTGTGGGAGGCTGGTCAAACACAGTAGGGTGGGGACAATTCTTCTCTCAGTGGATTAAGGCTTAATCCACGCTCATGGTTTCAAACTCTTTGATGCGGACAGACATGTAGGCCTTAAATATATCACTTAGTTCTCAGGAGAGCATGCTTCATGGATTCCCCGTATTTTTCCATGGGTATGTTTTGGGTATCAAAATTACCTCCTTGTCCTGGTACACTGCTAATGCATCATTTTTTAAAAATCCATATATAGATTTATAAAGCCAAGGTGCTTAACGAATCTATGTGATTTCTGAAAACATGGCCAACTCATGGGTAGTCAGCTTTGAAGGATCATGCCAGTTAACCACCAAGAAATAATTAGGAGAGCTTTGGTCCATGTTTACAGACCAGCCGCCCATTTAATTATCTAAGAGGAAGAGCACAGATCAAGTTGTAAAAGAAAAGGCAAGATTTAGAATGATTTATTAAAAAAGCACATTTTCTTACCTGAAATATTTTCGTGCTTGGGCTTCTTATTAAATTTGGTAGTGGTAAGATGTGTTTTGTCTTTATACAGAAAGAAGCAGTCTTCAGTGTTTTTACAGCGTTGGTTATTATAGAAATTATACGTCTTCTACTTCTTGTCTTGAAGGGTGAACAAAACAAACAAACTGAAAATACTACAATGAATGGTAAACGATGAAAGACTTACAGTACAAAAAACAGTGTAAAAAGGAAGACAAGTTTAAATATTGTTGTATAGGAAAGTGAGGAAAATAATACAAGGATGAGAATCAGTAAAATGATGGGCTGGAACATCTGGGGAGGTAAATGCAAAGACAAAAAGAGAGTTAATTAATAACAGTTTCTAAAACCTACATCCAAATCAACCAACTGAAATATTCGCTCAAGACAAAAGAATCCCTCCCCAAACCTGTATTTACCAAACCTGAGATTATTATTTATATACGATGCTTTCCTCACTTCAATTTTTCCCCCTTAGAATATAACTGAAAAACCACATGCTTGTAGTATTAAAAAATATGGAACAAGGAAATGAAAAACTAAATATCTGATACAACAAATAGAAAAAAGGAAACTAATATTTCAAAGCTCAACAAGGTTCATAAAACTTCTTCCCCCCATCGCAGCAAAGCATAGCGACGTGCAAAATTTTGTTAAGCTGTGGGGCTGCGATTTTGCTGGTCGTGACAGACAGGCAAATGAATCTAAGGTCATGCTTCTGCATAAGCTGGTTTTCAAACGTCCACATCTGGCGTGCCTTAAAAGCCATGCATGCTGCTGTACTTCCGTGGGTTCTCCAATGGATACAGGACACCAGGCTGGCCAGAGGGGTCAGCGCTGCCCGCTCTGCTTCATAAATTATATTCTACGTGGTTAACTCTGACAAAATGCACTCATCTCTCCGTGGCCACCATACCTGGCCAAAGCAGCTCAGTCCCATTCATCCGGTGCCTCTACAAATCAGGATGGACGAAAAATACTGGTTTTCCCTGTTATGGAATCTTTGTTATTTCCATGTCCCTGGGTTAGTGTTGCCTTAAAGCTACCACAGCACAGTCCTCCACCACTCCTGGGCTCTTCACTGTAGAGAAGCCTGACTGACTCTAGAAATAACGTGTAATCTCAGTTTAGGGAAAGGGAGACCCCTGCAGCGCTGCGCCTTTAAGTGGGGCTCTGGGTAGGAGGGGATCCTCTACCACTGATTTCCAGGCTGATCACTAGCTATCCAGCAATCCTGATTATACAGCTTTTTTTTTTTAAGGTCTTAAACTCAATGACTTACAAGCCTCTGATCGACATTTTGATTAGGAATCTTCGAATGTGGATTTGTGATTTGTAAGCCAAGATTCCTACTTAGGGCCTTTTCGCAGCGAGATGTGGTACTGACCTATACTGCACCACTGAGTCACGCTGAGGAGTACTGACCTTCTAAAAACGGTACCTTCGAATCCTCTCACTTGCACATGAACACTGATAGTGCTGGGGTCACTTCTCCCCTTTCAGAAGAGGAGAGGTGGTGACTGCAGGGTTGGGTCACAGAAACCTGAGGCCTGCAGGAGGCCAGCTGAGGGGCAGTGACCTGGGCTCGCCCTGCAGCAGGGCCAGGGCGCAGTGGTCGGGATCGGAGACTCCCCACGGGGCACCGCAGCTCCAGCCTAGCCACGCACGGCCAGGGCGCGCACTAGGCAGAGCTGTACCTGACTCACGGATATGGGCTCCTCGGCGCCCCGGTCGTCGCTGGACTTGGGCACCTCCAGGCGGTCGATGAAGGTCTGCAGCTCCTTGCGGAAGGCCTTCATCTGCGCGTTGATGCGGTAGAGCAGCTCGTGCTCGCGGATGCGGCTGCCGTCGTCCTCCTCATCCATGAGTCCGAACAGGTCCCCGTTGGCCACGTAGATGCGTGCCTCGGTGATGATGGTGCTGGTGTCGGCGATGAGCCGGTCGATGGTCTTGCCCAGGCGCTCGGCCTCCGAGCGAATGTCTTTGAGGTGCTGGCGCTCGCACAGGCCCCGCGGCCAGGGCGCGGGCGCGGGGTGCAGGCCGCGCGTGGGGGTCAGGCAGCGCGCGTGCCGCGCCTCCTCGGGCTCGCTCTCGCCGCCGATCGGGCCCTCGCGCTTGCGGTGCGGCGGCCGCGCGTCGTCGTCGCTCTCCCTCTTGCCCGTGTCGCTCTCGGCGTCGCTGTCGCGCGGGCTGCCGCGGATGCCCAGGTGCGAGGCCAGGTCGTAGCGCTGCATGTTGGACATGAGCACGCGGTTCTCGTACTGCAGCTGCATGACCTTGCCGCTCAGCTCGTTGATCTGCAGGCGCGCCGCCTTGAGCTCCTCCTGCAGCGCCTCGCTCTTGGCGCTGTCGTGGTGCCGCGCGCTGCTGTCGTGGCCCCCGGCCGCCGACGACTTGTACTTGTACTTGTTGAGCTCCGCCGTGATGCGCTTGTTCTGCTCCTCCAGGTCGGCCACGTTCCTGCGCAGCAGCTCCGTCTCGTCCTCCACCAGCTGCAGGTGCTGCCGCAGCTCCGACAGGGACTCGCTCTGCTCGCGCATCAGCGGGTTGGCGGCGCCGTTGCTGAAGTCATCTCCCCGCAGGTCGTCGAGCTCCGCCTTCAGCCCGCGGTTCTCCACCTCCAGCTCCACAATCTTCCGGCCCAGGATGTTGGCTTCCTCTTCCACCAGCCGCAGCCGCAGCTTGAGCTCGGCCTCCCTGGTGCTGGGAGGGCCCCCGGCTTCCCCCTTGGGCAGCGGGCTGTCCAGATCCCCGTAGAAGGATCTGTACTTCTGCAGCTCGTGTTCAAATCGGTCCTTCTCTTTGTCAATCTTGGCCATCTTCTTCCTCATCAGAGCGGCTTCTTCCTTGACAAACTGCAGCTGGCATTTCAGATCTTCGTTGTCCTCCTCATGGGGGCGGGGAGAAAGGGAAAAAGACAGATCATTGTTACGGAAATGAGGGAGGCCATCACTGTGGAAATAATTTCTTCCTCTTGCTTTTTTAAATTAGGGTGCAATGGCGCACAGAAGTAGATATAATGTGTTTTCTTTAAGTCTCCTACATTCTTAAAGATGAGAACATTATGTCCTGAAAACAAAAAACGGAGAGACAAGCAGAGAACACGTCCATCCAGGGATGCAAAGATGATTGTACATTGCAACCGCACACAACGGTTTGGTGGCCATTTTTAGGGTGTGTTTTTTGTTTCCTTCTTTCTGCGGTCTGAATCCCCTTAACTCTACTAGTATTAGTGAGCCCTCTTCATCCTGGGGAAAATGGCTCACATGCACTCACTGCTGCTGGCTGGGCATATACTATAAGGCAGAAGCCCTGATGTTCTTCCTAAGTGTGAGCCAATTTAAAAGTCGTTATCAAAATGCTCAGTTTACAGATGTTCAGTGACTTATCCAGGGTTACCCAGTGAGGCAGCGGGGAAAGAAAAGGGTGAAATTTGAACTGGGTTCAGTCTTAAACGAAAGCTGATCATCATTCTGCTGTTTAGAAAAAGATCTTCCCCATCTTTATGCAAAGGGTTGTTATTTTAAAGTCTGGTGAGTAGGGTAAGTTCGGCAGCAGAATGGTCCCTGCAGTAAAATCTTAGTAGCTACTCTGTCTGCATTGACTTTAACATGGAATGTAGTGTCATCAGTTTGCAAAGGAGAGAGTTGGTTCCTCCTGCTGAACACATCACAGAGTAGACCTCTCACCGGGTCAGCCCTGCAAACCTAAAGGAGAATCAGACAGCCGTTTTCCCCCTGAGAGTTGTTAGAGAAGCACATGATCACGTTTAAGAATGGTATTTCCCCAGGACCGTTTCTCCAAATTCTGAGTATGTAATTTGGGCTAATTGTCTAGCTTTTGTGGACTGTGGTTTCTTCGTTTTATTTTTTACTTTCATGGTGCGGGTGACAGAATCCAGGGTCTTACACATGCTAGGGAAAGGGTCTACCAGCAAGCTGCACCCACAGCCCTCCTCACTTTGAAAAAATGGTAATAAAAATTCCTTTCTCATTCAGGACTCAGTCACCTGCATTCCTGGAAGGAAGCAGGAGGAGCTAAGAAGGAAAATGAGCTTCTGCCAGAGATATAAGCAGATGTGGCCCAGAGCCTCTGAGACCCAGAGGGCCACCAAAGATACACAGAGGTCATGTCCCCCAGCTGTTGGTAGACAGCAGAAGTGGTGGATAGCTGCCCCCAGCAACGCCCTAATCCTCTTCTCATTAAACCTCTATAGCCATTTTTTGAGTAGGTGACACTTCTACCCATTCTGGATATGAGTCGTTCCTTGACACGCAAAGCAAGTGTTGGTGAGTGACAGGGTACAATCTATATTCATTCAGCTTTGATGCCAAGATTCACATGCCTTGCACTTGTATGGAGTTTTTTTTTTTTAATTGTATGGTTTTCTAAAAACATCATAAGTCTCTGTGGACTTTCTACAACATTCCTTTCTTTACTCTCCTTGTGCTATAGAAGCAGCCAGTCTATGGACCTTATTAATTAGGAAAGAACAAGATTAGCTCCATGGGTATGGTTCTCAAATACAGCAGAACATCATGTACTAATGACCTGTTGCTATGTGCTTACAGCATAAAAGCAGTTTTAACAGAGAAGGCAGGGCTGGCTTTAAAGCAAGTATATTAAATACCTCATAACTCCTGTATCTACAGCTGCATCCATAACTTGACTGTCTTGCGTAAGTCTATTAGGATGTTATTTTTACTTATGAAAGTAGATGGTTTGGACAAGATAGCATGCCTGTATCTTGCACTCTGACTAACTACTAGGAAGACAACAATATGCAGTGTATTATTGTAACTCTTCTATTAAACTGCTTTGAAACTCTATCGTTATTTTAATTTTTTCTCTTTAAAATAAAAAAGGAGCAGAATAACATCAACAACAATAAATAAATAGAAGTAGTTAATTATAATACTTTAGAGGTACTTGGTGTATGAGTTAAATTCTTTCCTCATACCTCTGTGGGAGTCTGTTGAGCCTTTTTTTCTGATTTTGGCAAATCTTTGCTTCCTCTTCTTTTTAATGACAGCTGAAACAGAAGGTGAAAATGTTTAGTTTGGTAGATGACAACTTTAATCCAATTTTATATTTTTTAAGTATCCTAATCTCGTAAGACAAAATCAAGACAAAAGAGTTACTTCAGTAATCATAAAGGAGGAAAATTTCTCAAACCAAATAGGTTCAGATATATTTTTACCTTAAACTGGGAATGTAGCTGGTGACTATCTGATTAATTTGAAATATAGGAAATCTGTGCAAATGCAAAACAACTCAGACAAAATACAGGTCGATGCAATCAAGTGCTCTGCAGTTCAGAGCAAGGCAAATGGTGGGTAGAATTTTACATCACTAAAGAATTGTGTGTATTGGAGTTAGGCTGCTAAAAGCTTGTAAAGATCAATTTTCACTGAATTTATGTAGAATTTAAGGAATCTCACAAACTCGATGTACTTAAAGTATGAGTGAAAACTGTGGTGAATGTCTAAATTTTAAAAACTTTATTGCAGTAAAAGACACACTGCCGTTCAACCGCCTCAAAATACTCCTGCTCATTTTAAACACATTTATCTACTGTTCTGGCTGGTTTCTGAATACTTTTATGACGTCAGTTGTACTGTCCTGGCTTCCCCACTACCCTGAATCCATTAAAACAAAACAAAACAAAACACATTTACCTTCCATGGTGATGTTGGAGAAGAGACAAAAGCCGAATGGTTTCAGGCTGGTGAGTAAGGTGGGTGAGGACACAGAGCTCTGTTTTTACAAGCCTGCCTTTCCACTGAATGCCACAGTAAGATGCACTATATTTTGATTATACTTTGTGAACACATGAAAGAGAACTTCCAGTCTGTGTCAGAAAGGGGCATGAACACTGCAAATAAAAGTGCCTGAAGTGAGAGGCACTCGTGTGACAGGCACTCATGACAATGCACCTTTTATGGTAGAAGATTTTTAAAAATTTGCACGTCATATATTTTGGTTACATCTCACACACTTGCAATGCGAAAGGAGTGTCAGGGATGTCGAGAGATGAGAAGGTTCAAGGCGCAGGTGCATCAGGAGCAGCACCAACCCACTGGTGTGAGACAGGACCAGGGGCTCAGGATTGTTACACAGTCTCCTGCATTTTAGTGGCTGGTCCTAATTAAAATTCAAACATTCACTTTGTCATTCGCAGAATTCTAACTAGTGCCAACTGTTTCATGGACCAGCGGTATATAATCATTACCTCAGTTCTATTTCCCACACCAATATAGTAAGAATGGTGTCTATGTAAACACTAATTATCCAAGTGTCTGACTCTCTACTATATGCCAGATACTGACTTGGAGACTCAACATTCAATTAGACCCCACACCTACCATCTAGAGACTCAAACTGAGCGGGAGAGCCAGCGAACCAAACAACTACAGCCCGCGCTGGTAAATACCAGACTTTGTGTTCTGCAAAAGAGGACTCTAAATGAGATTCATGGTTGCCAGCCATTTGGCAGATGGTGGGAAAAATATCTGAACTGGTTAGTACAGAAAATAGGATGTTCTAAAGCGAAAGACAGGACAGAGACTAACAGTAAAGGCAGGTATGGCTTCTGGAAAGACAGGGTTTCATGAATTTGCAAGGAGCAGAAAACTGAATACTTCACATGTTAATTTCAAACCCACATCCAGTGTTAAAGGAAGGTGCATGCTCACAGGAGGCGGCAGAATGCACTGTTGTAACTGCTTTCACTTGGTGTGAAATTGAAATCACAGAGACCAGTGAGCAGACCACATTCATGGTCATTCATTTCTAGTTTTTTTCAGAAAGAAATGCTCTACATTGCTGGCATAATCTTAGGAATGAAAACTATGCGGACTGACTCAGCATAACCAAAAGGGATTTGGGAATCAGTCAGCAAAAATGATTCCAAAAATATTAAGAACATAGAGAGCTGTATTAGAGAACCCAGAATATTCTAGGTAGGGGCCTCCTATGGGAAACACTAAATTCATTTTGCTCAATATTCATTGAATGAATTTATTAATGGATTTCATATTGAATTCATTCAATTATATGCATGTTTGGTCAGTGCTAATGTGCTGTGTGAGGTATGTAAGTCATAATGATACCAGAACCAATTCTGTTCTTTAAGGAGGTCCTCGTTTATTCAGCATGGTGTATTCTGCCTACAGGATAAAAGCACTGATAATGTAAAAACAGTATTAACTGGCACTGACTGAGCACTACTTTAGGGCAAACTCTCTAGACGTTATCTCAGCTAATTTTTTAAAACATCCTTTTCAGCATCACTTTGTTGGTGCTTACCTTAAAGCTTAGAAAGTTAGATAAATAAATTATCTGAAGCAGTGTTTCTCCCAGTGTGATCGCCAGAATGGCATCATCAGCGTTACCTGGAAAGCTGTTAGAAAAGCAAATCTTCAAGACCCATCCCAGGCCCACTGAGTCAGAATCTCTGAGGGATGCGGCCCAGCTGTCTGCTTATTAAAGAGTTCAGTAGGTGATTCCTAAACTGAGGTTTGCAGGGTCTGTGCATAACTGAATCACGCTTTGATCTACGTTTCTCTGCTCTCTATGGCTGCTGTGAATCAGATCACAAAGCATATAGGCTTAATCCAGTCCAGGGTTTGAGAGAGGGGTGTAGCTAGGGATTAATTCCTAGATGGAGGGACATCTGCAGTTGGTGGATGTGTAGTCCCCGATGGAAGACAACGGAAGGGAGAGGGGTTAAAAAGCATCCCAGATTAACAGATCAGAGGAGGGGAGTGACATGAGATTTGCTGGCATCCTAAGTCAGAGCCTGAGGGCAATGAATAAAGTTTGTGTCTGTCTCACTCAGTTCAAATTAAAAGTAGCGATGGGTATTAAGGAAAGAGTGTCATAATCAGACCATCGTAGTTCAGAAACACACATACAGGTGGCTGTCTAAATTGCCATGAGATAAAGGACTGCTATGGTGTAGTTCTAAAAACATTTTCTGGTCCTTGTGTGTTAGATTTGGTGAGTTTCTTGCACATACATATTACTATATGTAAACAAATGTGATTAAAACATGACTAACCCCTCTCCTTAAGAACTGCTTATGATAATGAAAAGGATGCATTATCTAAATAACTCAGAGCAATCAATGAAGAAATGAAGGACTGAGAGAATAGAAAGGTGATTCTTGATTTGGAGAATTAGAGAAAATAATCCACCTTTTAAAGATATGCAAAACTTCTGGGAGAACATGGCGGACAGATAGCAGCAGCTCTCTGAGAGACCCAGCTTAGAATCCAGGAATGGTGCGGAGTGAGGAATCCTATGAAAGAGGAGATATACCCTGCTGACCCAAGAACGAACTGAGCTGAGAGAAACCAACCGGGAATGCAATCCTGGTGCTATAACAGGAACAGATAAAGCCTTAGCATGGAAGCTGGAGCCCGCACCATTGGAAGCCGTGATTTGGGTTTTCTGCTGCGGCTGCAGCATCTGAATCTGCTTGGCAGGGAGAGAGACGTGCAAAAGCTCTGAGAATGGGAATCGGTGAACGGAGTTGAGAGCAGGACTGGCAGGGAGCAGTGCATCGACCTGCGGTGAGTGAGGGAAACTGGGACTCTTCCACGATCTAGGAGGAACAGATGACATTCTGGGACCGGGCAGACTTGCCAGAACAGGGCAGACTTGCCAGAACAGGGCGCTGTATGACTTCAGTCACGTATCCCCCTCTCAAGCAGGATTGGTGAGCAGTGCCTAGCCTATGTGACACTGCTGGCTGAGACCCAGTAGGCTAGCACAACCCAGGTCCCAGCGCCTGGAGGTGTACGCTAGCGGTGAAGTCTTTGGTAGGTTGACCTGGAGGGGCGGGCCCCGCATAGGCTGCCCAGTCTGTAACTCCCTGGTGCGCTGCGGTGGGCAGGAACACCTAGCCAGCACAATTCAAACAGACTGTGGCCAACAGGGAAGGAAGCTGGGCCTCCTATATATGCTTGTATATAAGAAACAAAGAATATGGGAAGAGGGAGCAACAAGAAAGGCTCCTCGGCCCCCAATTCTGAGAAACAGGCAATAGCAGACATGGCACCAATAGACATAAAGCACTATCTCCAGAGCCTCATAGAGGAGTTCAGGACTGAAGTTATTAATGACCTAAAGCAAGACATAAGCAGAATAGTCAGAGAAATGCTAAGCACCACCCAAGAAAAAACAGACGGTGGAATGGAAGAACAAAAAAAAAAAAGGGGAGAATTGTTTGATGGAGAAAATAGAGAAAACATAGAATAAGTGAAGCAGGTTCAAAGAGATTACCAAGAAACTAAAAATTCTATTGAAAACTGGCATAACAGCTTGAAAGAAACTAAGGATAGATTATCTGAACTGGAGGGCAGATTCGTAATATGGGAGCATGAAATAAAAAATTCTTAAAAATAACAAAGAAACAAATAGCAATAATACAAAGACTAGAAGATGATAAAAGGATCTATAACTTAAGAATTAAGAATGTAAAAGAAAAAGCAGGGATACAAACAAATGAACTGCAAAGGCTATTCACAGAAATAATCAAGGAGAACTTTCCTAAAATGGGAAAAGGTAAAGATACTCAGCTCTATGAGGCATACAGGACCCCAGCCACCTACAACCCAAACAGAGCTACACTCAGGCATATGATAATCAAAATACCAGAAATACAATATAAGAACAGAATATTAAAAGCTATCAGAGACAAGAAACAGATCACTTACAAGGGAATACCCATCAGAATTACAGCAGACTTCTCGGCACAAACCATCAAATCACAAAGAGCATGAGGGGAAATAATTCAAGCTTTGAAAGATAATAACTTCCAGCCAAGATTGATATATCCTGCACAACTATCCCTGGAAATTGATGGAAAAACAAGGTGCTTCCAGGATAAAGAGGAACTAGGGGAATATGCAACCACCAATTCAACTCTACAGAGAATAATGCAGGATATTCTAAAAAAGAAAAATACGAAGATTCCAGAAATAGTGGCAGAGAGGCCACAAAGAATGGAGCAGAAAACAAAATGAA